TGGGATTTGACGACTAAGAAAAAATAAGTACAAGTGGAATGAAGTGGGGCCCCTATCTTTTCAATTTTTCTCTCTGACACATTGGCTAAGAGTTCTCTAATCAAGGAAGCTGACTTCTTTGGACTTAAATCGGGCTATTGCATGAAGATGACGTGTAATTTATAATAGGTTAAACCAGCACGTCTAGATTTTCACCAATTCAGTACTATGCTATAGTTCCTATTTTACTTGGCAAGGAATTTTCTAGCCTTGTGCTGACAGTGAGATGTTCAACAGGAAGAACTGGAGGAAGAAGAGATTTTAGTTTCGGAATCTGCAAGTCACATTTAGAAAATACCCACTTCAGCTCAGGCAAGTAAATCTCCATATTATATGCAAGTGAAAAAAAAAAGGTTGGACTTTGATGTTTCCTTCAATAAAAATATGGATAATCAATTTTCTATTAAAAACATTCAACTAGTGGGGGCTGGCCCCGTGGCCGAGTGGTTAAGTTTGCGCGCTCCGCTGCAGGTGGCCCAGTGTTTCGTTGGTTCGAATCCTGGGCGCCGACATCGCACTGCTCATCAAACCACGCTGAGGCAGCGTCCCACATGCCACAACTAGAAGGACCTACGACTAAGAATATACAACTATGTACCGGGGGGCTTTGGGGAGAAAAAGAAAAAGAAAATAAAATCTTAAAAAAAAAAAACATTCAACTAGTTTTCAGTCTTTTGTTTTTAAGCTATTGTAAGACTGCAATCTTTTATCTGGATTCTGAAATGTGAAAAGGTCTAAAAACCTTTTTGTAATCCATTTGGTGGTAAAAGTGGAGTTGACATGAACTTATTTGGCAATGAAAACTATACAGCTGTTAAGTTATTTACAACATTTACATATCTGACTTCATGTGAATATGTTTCACTGCAGAATTATTAATGTTTGATTGTGGGATGCTGACCTATACACCCTGGAGGTGTCATATAACATGAAGTATATGCATATATTACCTTTTTAAAAACTGAGAAATTCTGATTTCTGAAACATATTTGCCCCTAGGGTTTTGGATAAGGGACTATGGACTGGTATACGCTGCAATAAATGATCTTAATATCTTTGATTTGTTAGGATAAATCTATATCATGTACTATATATATATATATATTTTTTTTTTTTTTTGAGGAAGACTGGCCCTGAGCTAACATCCATGTTCATCTTCCTCTACTTCATATGTGGGATGCCTACCATAGCATGGCTTGCCAAGCAGTGCCACGTCCACACCTAGGACCAAAACTGGTGAACCCTGGGCCACCGAATAGGAATGTGAGAACTTAACCGCTGCGCCACCAGGCGGGCCCTACAACATATTTTTAAGTCAGATATTTTTGGGTTTGAATTCTAGTTCTTTATTTATTAGCTGTAGCTATACTAAGTTTTCTCAGCAGTAAAATGGGGATGGTAATAGTTGAAGTCATTCTGAGGATTAAGTAGGTAACACAGGCTAAAAACTTAGAGCAGTCTGGTAATTCGTAAGCATTTAATACGTCAGCTATAACTATAATAACAGTGTACCGATTCGTATTTGTGACAACTGGGCACCCATTTCTCTATGCTCTTGCTCACATCTGGTATTACCATTCTTTATAGTCTTACCTAATATGATAGCCCCTCCCCAAAAGATATCCCATTATTTTGCTTGCATTTCTTTGATTTCTAGTGATGTTGAAAATATCTTCATACTTTAACTATCAGTATTTCTATACTCAACTATTTTTCTTGAGTGTCATACTTTTTAAAACATCTTCCCTATGAAAATATTATTATTTACATTTACTTATATTTTTCCCAGTATTTGCAAGTTTCCTTTCTCTCCTTTTTCCCCCTTCCTTCCTTCCTTTCTCTCTTTCTGTCTTCTGCCTTTCCTCTCTTCCTTTCTTTCTTCCAGAGTTTAATCCTTTTAGGATTCATTTTGATGTATGCCTTTTTTAAAAAATCATCTATTGTTAGCCAGCTGCCCCCAAACCCATCACTGAATAAGCTATCTTTTCCACCACTGATTAAAAACCATTCTTGAGTCAGCCCTGAGGGCCTAGTGTTTAAAGTTTGGTGCTCCCCACTTCAGTGGCCCAGGTTCACTTTCCAGTCTCAGAACCACACCACCTGTCTGTCAGTTGCCATGCTGTGGTGGTGGCTCACATAGAAGAACTAGCACAACTTGCAACTATGACATACAACCACATACTGGGCTTTGGGGAGGGAAAAAAAAAAAAAAAAAAGAGGAAGATTGGCAACAAATACTAGCTCAGAGTGAATCTTTCCCTGCAAAAAAAAACACCCCAAAAAACAAAAAGCTAAAAAAAAAATTCTTATCATATGCAAATTCTGTCTTTTTTTAGACATCATATATTATTCCTTGGCCTGACCTCTTAATTCTCTTGCCCACTCCACATTGTTTAACCTTCTGATACAGGTCAAATACTCTCTATTTTTATTTTTCAAAAATGTCTTAGATATTGATACATATTTGTTCTTCCAGATAAAACTCAGAATTATTTTGCAAAATTTTCAACAAACCTGCATTGGGATTTTGACTGAGATTAACTTGGAAGAAAGAGACACATTTCAACATTGAGTCTTTCCGTTTATTCAAGGACATGAAATATGTCTCCATTTCTTCTTGAAGTTTCGTAAACTTTAAAGTCCTTGCTAATAGCTATAGCTGATTAACAAGTTCTGAAATATGTGCAACCTTATAGTTTATAGCAAATTGGAAACTAAATTGATTAATAGTTGAATATATTTATTGATACCAGTTGTTATAGCCTGAATGTTTGTGCCACCCTGAAAATTTATCTATTGAGAACAGCAGGGGAAGAAGACAATTCCTCTACCCTCTAGATCCTTCTGGTCAGTCTAAGAATTAAATTGACGTGAGACAGAGTAACAGGAGAAAATCAATCAAAGTTTAATAAGATGTATACATGGGAGAAACCCAGGAAAACCGAGTAACTCACCAGAGTGGCCGAGATTGCTACCTTAAATACCGTCTTCAGCTAAAGACAAAGGAGGATGTTGGGGGTTGGGGGGAGTCAGTTAAGGGAGGTTCCCAGAAAAGCACAGTAAACAAGAGTAAGGTTATTATGCAGATTTAAGTCCTTGCCTTCTACATCTATTAGAGTTTCTAGAGAAAGGTCATCCCTCTCTTCCTGGTACAGAGAAGGAGACACCTTTACAAATGGAGATTTCCCTTACAAATGTAAATGTCTCTTAGAAAGGGTGACTTCTACTTGGTTTTCAGCGCTTCTCCCACTTCTGAAGTTTTGCAAAAATGACCAGCCCAAAATAACACCAGAGAACTTGCTTGCCCCGTTCCTCCTCCCCTCCCCCCCGCACAAAGAACAGGTCATGTGAGCATACAGCCAGAAGGTGACTGCCTGCACCTCAAGGTGAAAGCTCTAACAGTAAGCTGACCATGCTCGCACTCTGATCGCAGACTTTCAGACTCCAGAATTGTGAGAAAATACATTTCTGTTGTTTAAGCTCCCCAGTCAATGGTACTTTGTTATGGCAGCCCAAGCAGACTGCTAGAGTAGTGTGTTTATTAGTCTTCCCCTAGACTCTGGGTTACCCTTGGCTTTACAAGTTAATCACGGCCCAAGAAAATAGCACAATTGAATCAACTAATGGGGTGACAGAAAGGGCTACTTCGTGATGAGTACTTATTTTATTGAATTGCTTTGCACAAGGATCAAATGAGGAAAAATGAAAGTTTCTAAGTCACCTTATGTCCTCATTCAAAATGAAAATAATTTTTTAGTTCTACAGATGAATTGCATATTTCTAGAAATGTTGGCTTCCCTATGTTATTGCACAGAAGAATGCCAATGAGAAAATTGTCATCGATGTTTAGTGTCCACAGGGTTAATACTTGGGCCTATCTGGAAGTAGCAGCATGGAGGCACTTTTCTAGTCGTTCTTTTCAGTTGTGGAACACGTCAGAGTTTGCTAAGTGCATTCACATACAAAGTTTTCTTTCATCCTCAAAACAAATTTAAATGAAGCGTCAGTCTCATTTACGGATGGAGCAAATTGAGATTCAGAGAAATGAAATGTCTTTTGCAAGGTAGCATAGAACTAGAGCTAGATTTTACTCCATTGAAGGAATTTTTCTGAGAGCTTATTGTGTGTACACTATGGCCCCCAACTTAGGCCCTTCTCTCCCGCGCTGGTGGGATCTCCTCTCAGCAACTGATATAGCTTCCTGGCTGCCTTATGCCGTGCTGTACTTCTCCGAGCTTGCTCTAAGGCAAAGATCCAACCCATCGCTGGACTCTGAACCTGTGGGCAGATGTGTGATGCTGCCTCTCCTAAGGGACAAATCTCTTTCTGCTAGTCTCTGCCTAGCCCCTACTGGGCCAATGACGGCAAAGGGCTTCTCCAGACATCTGAGGTGTTTGCTTGGGAAACTCTCCTTCAACTTTCCCTCTCCTTCTTTCCTCCCCCTCCCAATTATCCTGCTTAGTATACAGTCAAAGGGAGGTTTGACATTTGCTCTTAGGTCCAAATGAGAAGCCAGGCAGGCACATGAAACCCACAGGCCTTGATTTACTCATTGTCCTACTTTATCCTAAACCAAACTTTTCTTTTTTTTTTTTTTTGAGGAAGATTAGCCCTGAGCTAACATCTGTTGCCAATCTTCCTCTTTTTTTGCTTTTCTCCCCAAAGCCCCAGTACATAGTTGTATCTCCTAGTTGTAAGTCATTCTAGTTCTTCTACGTGGGTTGCCATCACAGCATGGCTTGATAAGTGGTGTGTAGGTCTGTGCCCAGGATCCAAGTCGGTGAACCCTGGATAGCTGAAGCAGAGTGTGACAACTTAACCACTTGGCCACAGGGCTGGCCCCAGGTAAGTTCTTTTTTGAAAAGACAAGCGACATTTAGTCCCAACTTTGTACTGACTGTGTATAGAGAGGATAAATGAGGAGTGAGGGATGCAGCAGTGACTGTCTGTCTGAGGAAAAGTGAATTTAAAAAAATTTTTATTCTGAAAATCATTTAAATTTATCTTGTAAACTACACAGAAGAGTGGACAATATTAACAATTTAAAGTTTATCTCTGAATTTAAATCTGCAGGCATCTTTTTCTTATTCTTTACAGGAGTCTTGTCTCATTTTATCACCTTTAGATTTATTATGCCCCACAAGTCAAAAATGGATCATGTCAGAGTGGGGAATAAACGAGTAGATTAGTTTCTCAGCACTTTGGAAATATTAAAGTTGCTTTAAATATTTTCTTTAGAACTCCACTGGAACCTCTGTGTTAGACTGGTACAGAATTACCAAATCAGAAGGTCCCGGCATTTCCCTAGTAACAGTGTTCTCAGGAGAGATCTTGTGAATAGAGTCATGAGCACAGATCCAGCATATTCTCTGAAATACTTCACCCTTGGGCTCCTAAATTCAAGGGAAAAAAAATAGAATTTTCTTTTATACATTATAGAAAAGCATTGTGGAACATAGAGGAACGCAGGACTAGGTGACAGGGAGCTACGGCATCTCAGTTCTGGCCCTGAGATTTTAATCAAATCATCTTTCTGGGGTTTAGTTTCCCCATCTGAAAAATGGAGATAATAATTCATATGTCATAGAATATCTGTAATTGATACTGGTTAGCACAAGGTTGACATAAGGGAAGCCATATTGTAGAAAAGAAACCACATTTTCTTTGAATGATCTCTGATTAACTAATCCAGCTGGACATGTACCCTCCAGGACATATACATGCCCTGTAGATTTTATGGCCCCTCCCAGCTGCAATAAATTGGTAACTTTGTTTTTTTGAGTTCCTTATTAATGTAATGACCTCTAGGGCAGAGAGTCTAGGCGCTTAGCCATCATCAATGACAACTGAAAGATCTGGGTATAGGGCAGTTCTCCAGTCTCTGATGCATATCCAGTAAAACAAAAGATTATCAGGAACTAAGACCAGATGTCTGCCCCACCTGGAGACCAGCCCCCTATATAATTGGCCTGTGGTCTTTGTTCTGTCCTTTCGGACATTAGTCAGCCATCTTCCCCCTTGCTAGCAGGCTGTAATGAAACCCTTTCTCTCCTACCACCTTGCCTCTTGACTATTGGCATGTCTTGCAGCAGGCAGACGACCTCTCTTGGGAGGTAACATAATGATTAAATAAAAAATATTTGACATCAAATGGTATGAACTAGAGAAAGAGAGAAAAATTATTGAGGGCTCAATATAGGCCAGGTACTCGAGTTACAGCTAGGGTTCTTAAGAGAGATTAAGGTCCCTGATTTAGGTCCATGATTCTATCACAACAAAATTTTAAATCAAATCATTAATAAAAAATGTTTTAAATTAAATTTAAATGATCCATATTTCACTCTAGAAGAAACCCTCTTAATTTTATTACATATTTAAGGCTTACTTTACTAAAGCTCAAAAGCAGAATAAATCAACAGTGGAAAATAAAAATACTTTCTATAAATATTTCCTTCCAAATGTGTCTTTTGTTAACAGACTAATAATAATTCATAATAAAAATAATCTGTATGACGTTTTACATTTTTTCAAAATACTTTTCAAAGGAGACCCTAAATTAGATGTAGTAAGTTAAATAAGCATAGTATTAAAATTTAACAACAGAAAAGTCTGACACATTGTTATATTTTCCTACTGTTTAAAAATTATTTCATGGATGGAGAGTAAATAATTTCATACAATTTAAAACACTGTGTAGACAAAACTTCCTCCAGCAGAAAGTTAATCCAAAATGTTACCCATTAAATGTGAAAAAAAAAAGTATTAAAAACATCAAAATACACGGAAAGGACACTCAGTTTAAATCAAGAAAATAATTAAATATTATATATTAAAAGTTTCAGCTGTTAAAATTAGAAAACTATGAACCACATAAGATATTTTCTTTTTTTAGTAACTGCATATGTATCTTCATAGTACTTTTTAAGAGTAATCTTATTGAAACATAAATATCATAAGAGTTTAATAAATGTTTCACTAATGTATTTTTCTATCACACACACATATATACATACAAATATTTAGGAAGAATCCATATTATCTTCTGATTATGACCAAAAAAATCTGATAAGGTCATAGTCTTTCATTTGACCTTATATAGAAATAACTTGAAAGTAATGAGACATATATTTTTAACCATTTTGGTATATAATTGGATCAGATTTTATTTTCAGTAGTTTTTCATAATTTCTTATTAGGAAGATAAGCTAGTAATGAGAAAAATAAAGTAATTAATTATAAGTATTAAAGTTAATACTTGATGCTTAAGAGTCTAGTTAGAATATATGTCTTAAAAAAATAAATAAGCAATAGATGGGTATTTTATTTCTTAGGCAAGGTAGATAAATTAAAATATTTTAGAACATGATCTGAATTTAAAAGAAAAAAACAATAGAAAACAGAAATTAACAATTCAACCTGAATGAATTAAATAGCTGGAGAATTCTTAATATTTTTGACATATATACCATATGTTTTAAGTACAAGGCCTCTGAAATACATTTTCTACTCCCCAAAACCTTGCTAAATTGAAATTCACATTCTTCATTGACTTACTCATTATTTAATCTACCTAGGGAATTTTGCGATTCAGACCAAAGACATTTGCAAATAAACCAAAGATTACTAGCTTTTCATTTTTTATGTTTAAGTGGTATTTTCCCTTTATATATCTTAGATAGTGAAATACATCAAGAAAAGCTATTACTCTTCAGATGTTGTACAATAAATAATTATTTAGATGATAAAGAGTTAATAAAAATTTCAATATCTGCTAAAGAATTATGAAGCCCATCATTTATATCTTGACTTCTAAGAAAATTTTTAAGAGTATCTAAAGCAGCTATTGCCTCATTTTTTGATGGTAAAGGGAGTTCGGTTCCTAGAGATCCACCGTCATCCTCTTCGTCAGAAGCATAAAATCCTGTTTCATCTGATTTACTTTCTTTGGTCCATACCGAATCACCATCTGGCACTGCTTCACACGTCTCCAAACCGTCATCCAGGGCAGCATACTCTTCTACAGATAGACCTTCAGGAAATTCCACTCCTGCTGCCTGGGCATGGGGGACCAAATCAAGACCAGTGTCTGTCTCTGCATTTGTCTGGTCACTTTCTTCCTTTTGAGATTTGAATCCTGCCTCTTCATAGCTCTTTGCAATAGTCTCTGGGGTTACAGCCCTCCAACAGAGATGCAATGTATCAATTGCATCTATTAAGGAAAACGTAAATTCTTTGCTGCCTTCAACAGAACTTAAAAATTTCTTGATAAGACAATGTCGGTATCTGATTTTAAGGCTTTGAATAACACCTTGTTTCATGGCTATAAATTTGGAAGATAAACATGATGGAAAGAATGCTAACTCAATGGACTTGAGGTTCTTTACATCTGGATGTGCAGGAAAAGAATCAACAAAAATCACCACTCTTCGTTGCTGGGCTTGAAATTTCTCATCAAGCTTCCGCATCCATTGATCAAATATATCTGAGGTCATCCATGCCATTCTGTTAGCTTCATAATACACAGGCAATGACTTTATACCTTTGAAACAATGTGGATTTCTGTTTTTTCCAATGATAAGCAGAGGAAGTTTCTCTGAGCCATCCATGTTTGCCCCAACCACCAGAGTTATTCTGTCTTTGCATAACTTTCCAATTGAACATGTTTCTCCTTTAAATGCAAATGTATTCGTAGGTAACATTCGGTAAAGCAACCCAGTCTCTTTTATATTAAAAACATTTTTAGGATGATAGTCATTTAAATAATAAGGCAGTACGTTTTGCTGCCAGACAGTTGAAGGGTCTACTGCTATTCCTGTAGCTTCTACAGGTTGAGCTCTGAATACTAAGCCGTATCTGGATTTAAAGCGATCCAGCCAACCATTACTGCACTTAAAATCATTATGTCCCAGTTTCTGGGCAAAATCATTAGCTTTTAGACGCAACATTGGACCATTAACTGGTACATTTAGACACTGAGCAATTCGATACCACCTCATTAATGCCTCTTCCAGATCTGTGTAAAAAGCAGTTCTCAGTCTTTTTCTCTTTGGATCAAATCTCAGCGATTCAAAGGCTTCTAGAACCTTGTCTTTATTCTTCATAATAGAAGACAATGAATTTTTTTTTATTCCATATTCAGCTGCAATCTCTGCCTTTTTCTTGCCACTTTCTACGGCATTTATAATATCGATCTTTTCTTCAATGGATAGACTTTTCTTTTTCTTCACTGTTACCGGCAGAGTTGAGGTATCTCCGGAAGCTTCTGCCATCTCAACCACAGCTTACGTAGAGATTTCTCGTCCTTCTGGTGCCTGTTTCTTTAATTAAATTTCTTTTCCAGTATGATACAAATTGCGGCTTTCTGTCCCACTTCATATACTGAAAGTTGGTAAGTGTCTAGTAGTTTTATTCCTCAGGAAATTGATGAGTAAATATATTTTTTTCAAAGGATTAGAATAAGAAGAATGTTACGTGCAGCTAGAATATTTTAGAAGAGAAACTTCCTTCTCAGGACCTTGTGTAGCTCAGTTTATAGTTTATTCCGAGTTCCAGAAGTCAGGCTAAAATAGAATCTCATTATGTCAAACCTGTCCAGTCCTGCTGATATATTTTTGGAACTTCAATCCTTTAAGATGATCCATTTTATCCATGCGCGCATTCAACCTCCTATTAATTCTCTACAGAAGGCCTCAGAGATAAGAAGAAAAAGCATTCAGTAATTTTCATGCAAAGTGTTACCCATTAATTTCCAAGTCTCTTCAGGATGGAGAAGAAAATGGTAGAATCCTTCTAAGACTTGATGGTATATCTTCTGTGTCTTGAAAATGTAAAAAAAAAAGTCATTTTAGCAACGATAAGTCAATTAAATATCAAAAAGAACATTTATATGAATTAGTTATGCTTTTAAATAATAATGAAAGAATGAGAACATGTTTCTGAAAATACAATAACCTAAACTTCCAGGAGAAATGCTTACCTCCTAAAGGAGCTCTTAAAAAGCTCTCTAGCTCTGCTCTGTGCATTTGAATACTCACTTGCCTTTCAGTGCTTTATAATATATACTTCTGAAATAAATCAGACAAATTTAATCTGTTTTGAAAATGTGGGTTTACCAAAATTACAGAACTAAAAATGATGCTGGATAGATATTTGGTGGCTATTTTCTACATGAAGTCACAGACTGCCCCCTCTGACTTCTCTAAAAGAAAAATACAGTCAGACAGTAGTCACAAGGTTCAACTTTTAATAGCACATGGCAGACAGTGTCTCCTTTATAGGAGTCTGGTAGAAAATGCTTCACTAAAAGTCAAATCAAGCGATCCCATTACAAATTTTTTAAATCTAAATCCTATTTTACCTAAATGCTTAAAATCCTAGTAACTTTTGTATCAATTTGACACGTTAGCTGGATGCACAGAGACCAGAAATACTTGACAAAATGCATAAGAATAAACAAATTATTTTTTTATTTTTATTTTCTCCCTGCTTTTTCTCCCCAAATTCCCCCAGTACATAGTTGCATATTCTACTTGTGGGTCCTTCTAGTTGTGGCATGTGCGACGCCATCTCAACGTGGCCTGACGAGTGGTGCCATGTCCGCTCATCTGAACCAGTGAAACCCTGGGCTGCCGAAGCGGACTGTGTGAACTTAACCACTCAGCCATGGGACTGGCCCCTAAAAAAATTATTAAGAGGATATAATGCAGAAAAAGACTGAGATTAAAAGAGAGGAGAGTGACCTTGCGTCTTAACCTCTTAGGACTTCCACTTCCTTATCTGTAAAATAAAGGGCTTATCATACATAGAATAAGGATATTGGCTTTGGTGCCAGACAAACCTGAACTGACAAGCGACTCTGCCATTTAGTACTTATGTGATCCTGGGTAGTTTACTTAACCACCGGAAGCCTCAGCTCCCTTATCTGTAAACTAGGCATCATTACAGCACCTACCTCATTCGGTTATTGCACATTCAACGAGCTTCAGTGGCAGAGTGTAAAGCACTCAGCACAGTCTTTCAGCACTTACAAAGTGTTCAATGAATGTGTGGTGATGATCGCATCATCATTGTCTTCTCTCTAATGTCCCTTCGGCTGTGTCAGTCTATAAAATTCAGAGATTTTACAAAATCCTACGTGCAAGTAGAAGCAAGAATCTCACCTTAAATATACACTGAAAGCAGAGCTCTTCTTAAACCAAACTGTACTGTGAGAACAGTCACAGGGCCCCAGGTGGGCTCACCCCTACCCTCCTACACAGCATCTCCCCTACCAGGATCTACAGGCTTTCGGCCTACTGCAGGCCAAGGTAACCAGCTAATTTGATAAGCAAGTGTTACTCCCTGTGACATAGTGTGGGCATCTATCCTTCTAGTTTGTCTTTCTGTCTCCCAGGTTTCAAGATGACACATGCTTTTTCTTTCTTCTTCTTTTTTTTTTTGGCTGAGGAAGATCTGTCCTGAGCTAACATCTGTTGCCAATCTTCCTCTATTTTTTTTTTTAAGTGAGCCGCTGCCACTGCATGGCCACTGAAAGACAAATGGTGTGGTTCCACGCCCAGGAACCGAGCCTGGGCCGCTGAAGTAGTGCGTGCTGAACTTTAACCACTAGGCCCTTGGGGCCAGGCCCAACACATGCATTTTTTTGCACAAAATCTTTTGACAAAACTCCTCTGCCTTTGTAGTTCAAATAAAACAAGTAATTTTCATCATAGAAACTAAAACCAGTAAAGGAGTTTTTGTTGTTGTTATTGAAAAAAGTCTTAATAATAATTAGGATAACCCAGGGCTTTAGTTTCCAAACTGCTTTACATCCTGTATTCCAAACAACTCAGGAGGAAGATATAGCTGGATTTTAAAGCTCATACAGTTATAACGTGGTTGAGTGCAGTCTGGAAATCCAGGCTTTCTAATGTCAAGTCTCCGTTCTTTTCACTATATTACAGTGTCCTTGAATCACATTGGGATGACCTCCTCTGAGAACAGTTACACATTCTATACCCCCAACACCAAGCCAAGTCAGCATTTCCAGTGCCTATCCAAACCTAACCAAAAAAACAAACCAAAAAATACCCTGAAACCAATATCAGGCCTCCACAGAGGAAGAGGCCATTATGAATTCTGTGAACAGCAGATATCAGCCATATCCCACTGCGAGGGAGGGCTGCCCTTTATAAGGAAATATTTGACCATTCAACTAAAAAAAAAAAATCTTGCTCATATATGGGACTTCCCTGTACATTTTTCTGCAATTTCCTATAAGTCTACAATTATTTCAAAATAAAAATTTTAAAATATCTTGCTTTTATTAGGAATATACCAACATTAAGAAATTGAGGTAGCAAGAATCAATTTTTTAAGAAAAGACGAAACCAAGCAAAATTACTCTCCAAGAAAAAAAGGGAATCTCCCACCTTCTCTCTTCCTCCTTTCTTTTGTTCTTTCTTCTTCTTTTCTTCCTTCCTTCCTTTTTTCCTTCTGCCTTATTTCATTCGTCAGAAATAAACCCTATCATCTCAAATAACAAGGATTACAGAAAAAGTAACTTGAATTTCCTCCCTTACCCCATTCCAAATAAAGCAATACATATAATCAGAGATTACTGATTATCTTCACCAAACTGAAAATAGTGACATGTTTTTTTAGGACATTTTTTTTTCTGAGAGTTAACAGTATATATTTCCTTCTAAAATAATAGTCAATGCTACAATTTTCCATGGTAAGATACAATATATCTTTATTCCTGAAGCAATCATATTTCTAATGCCAAACCAGAGAAGATAGACTTTTTTCCTAGAAAAGAATAAGGCACCAATACTGTCTAATCAATGAAGCTGACATTTTCCATTCTCCCACTGTATAATGTCTGGGATTTTTTTTTTCCAGGAAGTAATGGCAGCAGCTAATACTTCTCAGAACTCATTTTCTCAATTAAGCTCATTAATCATTTTACCCCTTGAAAATATTACAGCAGAGAAATGCTGTACTATCTGGTAGGGACTATTTTCTCTATGTAAAGCTAACTAAAGAACAAGAATAGGTAATTCATTAAAAAATTGAACTCCAAATAAAGAGAACAATGGCCAGTTGTACTGGTCACAGGAGAAATGTAAATCTTCTTTCAAAAGAGAAGATACTTTTTTGTCTTTTATTTTTGCCTATCAGAATGGCAGCACCTAGTGTGTGCTAGGATGTAGTAACATAGGTTGTTAGGAGGTATAGAAATTGGTACGAAGCATATGGAGGGCAAATTATACAAAAACCTTAAAAATGCACATAACTTTTATCCAGCAAGTCCTTACCCAGGATTTTTATCCCAAAAGAACAATTATAGATGTAAAAATAGTCTAACTTACAAATGTGTTCATTTTCCATTGCTGCGTAACAAATGAGCACACATTTAGTGGCTTAAAACAACACCCATTTATTATCTTACAGTTCTGTAGGTCAAAAGTCCAGATGGGGTCCCCTGGGTCCTCTGTTTAGCACCTCACAAGGCAGAAATCAAATGTCAGTCAGGCAGGGCATTTTATCTGGAGGGTCTGGAAGAATCTGCTTCCAAGCTTACTCAGGTTATTTGCAGAATTCAGCTCCTGGTGGTTGTAGGACTGAGGTCCCTAGGCTTTTCGTTGGCTGCCAGCAGAGACTGCTCTCAGCTCCTGGAGGCCTCCCTCAGCTCTCTGCCTGTGGCCCTCTTCATTTCAGCTACAGAGAACCTTCCTCATGTCAAATCTCTCTCACACTTCAAATCTCTCTTACTTCTTCTGCTGCTACCAGCAGGAGAAAGCTCTCTGCTCTTAAAAGTCCCATGTAATCAGTTTAGGCCCACTCAAATTATCTCCCTTTTGGTCAACTCAATGTCAATTGATTAGTAACCTTAATTACCTGTGCAAAAATCCCTTTTGCATGTTATATAACATAATCATGGGAATGACATCCTATCATATTCACTGGGGAGGGAATTATACAAGGTGAGGGTGATTGCAAGTCATCTTAGAATTCTAACACACAAGAATATCCCTAACATTGTTTTATAATTATAGACAAAACTCGAAATAACGTAAATGTGTAACAAAAAGGATTAGGTAAAGAAATTAAGGAAAATCTATACGCTAAAACACTACTGAGCCACTGAAAGAATAGTTAATGATATGAGGAAGATTCTATAATATATTAAGTGAAAAAAACAAAATACAAAACCATATGCCAACAATACAACATATATTGAAAGTTACATGAAGGCAGAGGCTTATGGCGATTCCTACAGTGCTTCATGACCAGCAAACAGTAGGTTCTCACAACAATTTGTTAAATAAATGAAGAAAAAGAAATATATGCATAGAAAAAAAAAGACTGACCAAATGTCGAATGTTAACTCTAGGTAACAGAATTATGAATAAGTTCCGTTTTTTTTCTTCTTGTAGTTAAAACAATTTCTACTCTTATGCTCTACTCTTTCTACTATTCATGGGTTTTTAAAAATGTTCCATTAATCAGTATCCCCTAATAAAAAGTATGTTTCCAGGGAATTATACTATGCAATCGGTAACTAAATAACTCTCCATGAGAAGGGAGCTGTTGATAAAGAGTGATGAAATTATTGTGACATTACCAGAATTCTCCTAGAAAAGAATTGAAGGTAGCACCTTCTTCTTTCTCTTGAGGAAATAATATTGATAAGCAGTATGCAGTATTCAACATTTAAAGCAAAGAGGAAAGGTCACACATACATTTAATTCATTCAGAAAGGAATAATAACACTATCTTTCAACCTGTTGCCTCCTTTCCCTCCTGGTCAATAAATGAAAGACAGGCTGCCTGAGTTTCCCATAAGTCAAGTGAATAAATGGTACGTGATTTTTCAAAAGCTGAATAATAGCCCATAGCAGTGCAAAGGTACATGAGTAGATAATCCTCATGTCATAAACACATATGGCAGGCAGTTATTCCCTTTTTTCTTACCTCTCCAAATATAAAGGCCAACTGACAGAAAAGTAGTAATCTTCTAATCTTCCTAGAGAGAATGGACAGGCAAAATTCCCCAAACTCTAGGGTGAAAGAAAGGAAGGAAGGAAGGAGAGGGGGAAGGAAGAAAAAAGGAGGGGAAAAAATTCTCCATCTGAGCAAGGTTAGGTTTAAAATAAGGTGTTTCAGTTAATATAAGAAATTTTCCCCAAATCCAAAGAATACTGGCCACTGCTTCCTTTTTCCCAAAGAAAGTGTATAGAATTTCACTGTTTTCCATCACCAGCTGAAGTAGCTTCCAGTGTTTTCTTCGAGCCAATCTACATTCTAATTTCCCTCTGGGCAGCAGAAATCTTAGGAAGAATGAGGACTAACCATGCACAGTACCAGAATCGCACTGGACTAACGAGTACCTAACACAACTAATAACACCTTCACCAAGCAGAAGTTAGTATTAGTTTCAAGTGGTTCCAAGCCCATCAGAATCTCCATCAAAATCACCAGCAGTTGCTAAGGAAACTATCCAGATAAGGACAGATAACTAAAGCAAGTGTTCAAGAAACACCTCTGAGCCTAACAGTCTAACAGTTAGACTAACTTGAGTGAAGCTAAGCATCCCCAAACTCAGGAGACAGCTAGCAGGAGTCCTTAAGGCACCAGCCAGCTCAAACAGTTAAGCATGCAACATCCAAGCACCAGAGAGCACTGCCACGCACCTCTTCCTAGTCATCCTTCTGAAACTCTAAGAATAACACTTGTACTCAGCCACAAAGTTCCATTCTTTTGGGATCTATTTCTTATAACCGACAAGACTAACAGGATGGCTTTGAACAAAAAAATCCACAGTAAACTACAGAACTGCAGTTAGTTTTAGTGAATTGGCATATATATTTGCTCTTTGGTGAAAGACAGAGCCATTTAAGATAAGGGCCCTTTATACATAGATTTATCTTGGGGGATTTCAGTACTGTTCTTTGTCAGAGAAGGTGTCCTGGAGATCTCAGACAATAAATAGTTAGTTACTTTTGAAACATTGTGGTGTCATGGGTATTTACTATTTACAGATATGGGGAAGAAGATATCTGTAAGAGGAGATACTGTTCACTATGCTGGAACTTCCTAGAAATCCGCACAGGCAGAGTCCTGCCTTTGGGCACTTACTCATTAAAAACGTCTTGTCAACTAATGAGACAAGGAAAGGCAGGTGAGAAGTATGGTCTCACGGAGGGTAAATCCCACGAGTGCACTATTATCCTTTGCATTTCTGCAAGTGAAACGGCGGTAAAAATGAGCATCCAGGGTTGTCAAAGGAAAAGCAGTGCAGAACCCTGAAGGGAGATGTGTCTGGACGGATCAACCGTATGTGAGGTTAAGCTTCAGGGATGTCTCCAGCAGTCCATTCCCTTCCATTCAGTGCTGGAGATAAGGGAGAGCATCCGAAGCACAGGTTGGGGCCTCAACTTAAGGAACTACAAAGGGCTCTGAGAACAGGGATTGTTCAGGGGTTTCTGTAAACAGGGCAGTGATCTACTTAAGAAGTAACGGGGCAAGTAAAGAAAGCAGACATCGGTCTCTGGTTAAAGAAAGAGGAACAGGAAAGAAAAGTATTCCAGGAGCCACTGTCAGCGAGGGAGCAGACGCAGAAAGTGATCAGAAAGACAGAGCAAGTAATAAAACTCAGGGATGCCGGGCGTGGGGGTCTGGTTTTCCCGAAGGAGATGGGCGTGAGTGACGTGGCCGGAGGGGGGCTCTCCAGGCACTGGGGAAGCGAGGGTGAGGCGCCCGCATCCCGTCTGCTCCCTTACCCCCGCATTCCCTCCACCGTCCCACCCTCGCGGGACTGGAATAACCTTCTACGTGCTTCCCGGCAGCTGAGAAAGAAGCTTTGGCTCTCCAGTGATATGCGTGGCGTTGAGCTACGTCCACCTCCACCCTCCCGCCGCCGGCTCACCGTCTGCTGGGGGGACGCCTAACGCGTGAGGCTGGGGTGTGTGAGTGAGAAAGAAGGGATGCTGAGGGCTCCTGGAGACCTCCGACCACTCAAGACCAGGCCGGCGCGCCTTTCTGCAAGCTCCCAGCTTAGGCAGGCGCATGGGACCCGCGCGCACACCCCTCTCTAATCCGGCCGCAGCCAGAAAATTACCCGGGCAACGGCACCGGCAGAGCCCCGGATGTGGTTGCTAGGGCCGCAGCGGGAGGGGCGGGGCCAGCCTCCTGGAGACGGGCGGAGGGGGCCGGGTGGGAGGCGCGCTGGCACCATCGAGACGTGGCCGGGCCGGGACAGATTCAGGGAGAGAGAGGCCGTCCAGGGCCAAGGACACGCTGCTTCCGGTCTCCTCACTTCCGGCTCAGTTGCTCTCGGTGCTGGTGCTGGAGGCCGGGTGGAGAAGCGGCCGGTCTGAGTGTCCGCGGCGGTTGGTCAGTGTGAGGCGGTGACAGCTGCAGTTGCTCCCCGCCCCCGAGGAGCCGAGGTGCGTAGGGGGAGGGGAAGAAGGAAAAGACCCAGGTCTCGTTTCTGCTCGCTTCTTGCCAGGGTTGCGGCGATTCCAAAGAGCGGAGGCAGGGATAATCCTCGACGTGAGAGCTGCCGGGTTCCCCGAAGACAGGTGAGGGCGGAGCTGGCCGGCCGGGCAAGAGGCGGGGGAAGGCTGGGCGGAGGTGGTTGGCGGGGGCGGACACGTAGCCTCTGGGTTCGCCGTTCCGGACTTTCACAGGGCGCTTCCATCCTTAGTCTCTGCCGTAGCTGCCCAAGTATTCGGCGTTTGGTTTCTGCCCCTTGATTCCTCTTGTGCCCCTGAGTGTGTCCCCGAAACAGCCGGGTGAAGAGGGAGGACTGGCCCTTCCAGGGCGGCACCCTTTTGGCTTTGCATGCATTGGGTGGGAAAAGGGGTTGCAGGATCCAGGTCTTTCTCGACTAAGTCTTGGAGGGGGGCCACCTTCAGGCTGGTGTCCAGCCTTCGTTTCTCTCTCTCCTTGCATCCCCCACTTCCTCTCTCCCGCAGCAAGAGGAAGGGAGAGTGATAGTCCCTCGGAGAGGTTCACCGGGCAGTGGTGCTGGGAGGAGCCTTGCCTCTGAAATGTCCCAAGCCTGATCGTGCCTGTGGGACGTTCAAGGAACGCTGGAGTTTGGGAAGGAAGGTTGTGCTGTCGTGTCCTCGTCTGTTCCTCCTTGCCAAGTTACTACTGTTTACGTGTCTAGGAAGAGGAAAGAGGTTTTCTGGTTTTTTTTTTTAACCGTTTCTAGACGCCTTTTCTTCTTACTTTATAATTACTTCCTTTGTTTTGTTCTTATCTCCTTCTTGAGTCCTTTGATCTCAAAACTGTTTGTAGTTTACCCTTCCTTCAGATTCTTTAGCCACTCCCTTTTAGGATTTTTGTTCCCCTCCCTTCATTTTCTCCTGGATTAAAGTATATAATTTCTGTAACTCGGTTCTTGTTTGACAAGGAAAAATGGAAGATTTGCAGGACTTTTCATAAACTTGTGCTTTCACCTGCAAGGGTGCGTTCACGTTTGCCACTTAATTAACTTCATTGGCGTGGAAATATGCACCAGAATTGGTTAAGTTGTCAGTCCTGTTTAAGGCTGCAGGAATTGGCCGTTTCATTGGTGCTATCTCAGAGTGACTACAATAGACTGTATGTTAGTACTGTTTTGATTCCGCTTTGCTTCCATTTATTTGTTTTCCTTGCTCAACATGACCAACACCCTCTCCCAACCACCACATCTAACACTCACTATCTGAGAAAATAATTCTGATCTTATTTTATTTTCTGGATTAAAATCTCTGCCTCAGATACTTTCATTCCTTTTTAAGTTGATGAATTAATTTGCCTTAAGCCTGGGTTATGCTTTAGGGTCCGTGGTCTAGGGGTCAGTGACTTTCAAGGGTCTTCCTCCTCCTTACCCTAGAAATTATGTGCAAAGCTTTGTTTGAGTGCATTCTCTTTTTTTTCTGGGGAGAAGGTCTATTCTTTTCATCAAATTATCAAAGGAGATATATAACCTCCAGATAGATTAAAAACCACTCCTTAGATAGTGTCTTGTTGGAGTTAATGAAAACTATTTGTGGGGCTAATTTTTCAAACTGTAAATAGCTTGTTTTGGGAGAGTAGAATGCAGAGATTCTAGCTTTATATGGAAATCTCTAACTACTTCAAAACTTCAGTGTTACTAAATTCCTTCCTAGTCCTAGAGAAGGAAGTAAGACTGCCTACTTATTTAGTTCCTGATTTGTGGTCTTGAGGTTTCTTTTTAGGGATAGCTGTTTGTGGCCAATGCTGTGGAGATCCACTGGATTTATAAATTAGTGTGTTTATTATTATTTAATACATTTTAAATATCACCAACCTACGAGGCACAGTTCAGAGTAAAAAATTTAAATTCTGGTTGTACCTTGCTTTCATTTTCTTGTTTTTCACTTGAGGCATCTACTTTGGCTTTGGCTTTGCTAGGAAGGGCAGATAAGATGTTTCAGTGGTGTCCATAAACTTTTGATATGTTGCTGCTTATTTTGCCAGCCCCTTTTCCTCCATTCTCTCTTAGGTATTTTAATGATTATTCTCTTGTGTGGATAAGTTAGTATCCTTCCAAACATAATGTAAGTGTAAAGTGCATATTTGAACTTAGTGATTTGGTTGTAAAGTGCTTGTTGATTGAAGGTTGAAGTTGTAAATGTTTGACAATTGATTCAGAGAATGTTAGAACTCGAAGAGACCTATACAGCTCATCATAGTCCATATAGAGTAACCAGTTTCTTCTGCTCAAAGAATAAAATAATTTTCCCTCTGTCTAGCATCCTCACTTGGGGCAGCAGAAAACATAACTTTGTAAAGAGTACATTATGCTAAATTAGTTTCCTTCTAGGGTACTGACAAAGTCAGAAGATAGATTATATCTAACACTATAACAGTAATTAAGCTTTGTTTGCTTACTGTGTGCCAGGCATTATTGCTAAGTACTTAACATAATTATCTCATCTAATCCTCACAGCAACCGTATAACATGGCTAAAATCCCCATTTTTATAGATGAAGAAACTGAAGCTAAATGATTAACTGAAGCTGAAGTAATCTGCTCAGAATTAACACTGGTGGAGAGAGGATTGAACTTAGGTTGTCTCACCCCAGACTGTGATCTCTTAACTGCTACTCTAGACTGCTTCTACCATGTTTCCTTTGCATCTTTTTTGGCATGAGTTGGGGGTATCTCACCTGATTTTGAATCAGACATTAAGAAAAGAAGATATTTTCCTTTATTAATCTTCAGTGGATGAACACCTAGTTGAATGTCCTACCAAAAAGTATGATAAAAAGAAATGAATTTGGAGGAGGCTTGTGGAGTGTTATTTAATAGAGTTTTCCCATGGGGATGGATATAAATCTATGTGTATGTGGCTGTGTGTGTGTATACTATGACATGTGAGGAGTAGAAAATGTGACAATAAATGTTTTAAGTAATAAACTTGGCATTTTAAGAGTCTGGAGGTATAAATACATTCCAGAATGATAAATTTGGAATGGAGTAAGGAACAAATTCAGGATGGAGGAAGGAATAAATTCAACAGGGACTTTAAGATAATATGGCTGTGGATGGAAAACTAATAATATATGTACAGACTGGAAAGAGTAGTTCCACATAATATGGAAGATGATGAGTTAGGGACTATGACAGTCTAAAAGTCAGATAAGCAGCAGCATTAGTTCTAGGATGTATGAAAAAGACTACAAAGCAAAAGAGTCTGAAAATAATCTTATCTTTTGTCTCTATGATCTTTAGATAGTCATGGAAGCTGCTGAATAGCTCTTGCAGATTCTCAGCTATCCTCTACAAAAGTATATATTTTCCTTTTCTTTTTCCTTTATTCCTTTTCTCTTTCTTCTTGCCTCCATCTCTTATTGCCCTCTCCTCCATTACTTTTAAACCTCTGTCTTAGGATGATTATAGGCAGGTATTGCTGGAAATTGCCCAATCTTTTGTGAAAATATGGCAATATCTTTACCATAGTCTCACCTAAGAGTTTTTATTTTGTTTCATTTTTGTATATCTGTGATAGCGTTGGACTAGCAGCTCCTTGATGTTCAGGCTTGATCCTTTCTGATCCTTTGGGGAACTGTGACATGCTATCTTTGGAGCAGGATGGTAAGAACAGCAGAGTTGTTGGTGAGGCTTAAATCATACAGAGGAGGGAGTCAGCTGGCCAACTCCAGTTGCTGCTAGCATGAGATAGTGTTGTAGAGCAGGGTTTCCAAACTTTTCTGCATCATGGCACACATAGAAAATGATTATATTTGTATGGCAGACTATAGCCAGGCTCACCATAGCTCCCTAAAGGCTAAGGGTAGGGGAGAGGGTGTTAATATTTCACCACATCTATAATCCATTCTTGACACACTGGTTGGAAAGCTTTGCCCTAGAGAAGAGGAATACGTTAGTCTTTAATTCCTTTTGTTTATTTAGCATATAAAGTTTTACAAAGCACTTTCACATACATTCTCAGTTTAGTTTTACTCTGTCCGTGTCAAGTAGGTAGAGCAGGTAACATCACCATGTTAGAAAGAAGAAATTGAGATTTTAGATGAAGTGCTTTGTATAAGGTCACACACCTAATAAGGGATGGATCGGGAATTCAAGTCCCACGTGGAAAGAGTCCCTGGGGGTTGAGTCAGTGGCGTGTAACCGCCAGGGTGGCTGGGACCCCATCTGTTAATGTTTCAGAGTGCTACCTTCAGCATCTAGGGCAGTGACAGGCACATAGAAGTCCATAATAATTGTCATTTATTGAGTGCACTCTGGCTAGGCATTATGCTGTATAGATATCTGTGTATTAGGTATTCTTATTTTTCTGTTAACAAATGAAGAAGCAGGTATAGAAACCAGCAGAAGTAATTAGTCCCAGGTCACTCAGGTAGTAAAAGAGGAACCACAAGACTCATAAGCGAAGTTGCTTGACTCCAAATCTTGTACTCTCTTCACTGCAGTAACTAAATGATTTCATGACACTGTGGGGGTGGAGAGTAGGTTCCAGTTAAACTGTGTGACATTGGTGGCAGAGAGTGATGGTGAGGGTGGTGAAAGGGAGAGAGGCAAGTGGACTATTAAGTGTTTACTTTTGGCAGTGTTTTTTTTTTTTTTTTAAAT